AACTAAAAAGGATCTTACCAAACCAGTATGTAGTCTCAGTTCCTTCCAAAAAGACAGACATTTTGGATTCAAACAAGAAGAACTATAATCAGAATTAAAAACAATAAATGCAGGAGTGCCATAAGGTAGGATATTAAGTTCACTACTTTAATTGCTATACACGGATGGAATAAAATTTGCAACATTTGCTGATGACACAGCGATGGTATCCGTAGGATCAACCATTCATCCAAATTCCTTCAAAAGGCTTGCAACAGATAAATGAATGGATTCAGGACATATAAAACAGAGAATCAGGCTCAGTGAGTATGAATTTCACAAACAAAAAAGTGGACCAAGTTCTACCCCTCAGAATCGATGGGACTATCATACCATACAGCGATACAGCTAAACAACTGGGAATGACCTTAGATCCCAAGCTGAGTTGGAAAGAGCACGTGAAAAAAAGGTTAGAAATAGGTTAAAGGTATAGATAACTGGTTGATATGTCGCGGCTTTTATCTTCTTACACAAAATAAATTATTTTTATACAAACATGTCGTAATGCTTATGTGGACATATGGTATTCAACTATGGGGTTGTACCAAACACAGCAATATCAAAATTATACGAACATACCAATATAAAATCATACGTAATATGGGCAATGCGTCTTGGTACGTAAGGAATAAGGATTTACATAGGGATGTTAAGAACATAACGGATTTATAAGCGACCAAACTCCTACACAACCGAAACATCGTTAGAAGGGTGGAAAGGACAAAGTCATATGAACTAGTGTAGTATCATCATGTACCTTCATCAACTTTACCAAAGAGAAACCTCCAACAGGAATAAAACTAAAATGGAAAGACCATCCGATACTCACGGCGACATGAACAGGATGTTTGAATTTAACCAAAACCTCCGAATAAACCTGGGTACCAGAAAAGAATGGGAAAGAGAGGGAAACAACTCTTTTAAAAATGGCACCATCCTCTGGTACACAGATGGATCTAGAACACAAGAAGGTACAGGGGCAGGAATATTTGGACCTGGAACCAAATACTCAGAACCCATGGGAAAACACCAGTATCTTCCAAGCTGAAATTCATGCAATCGAAAGATGTACCCAACTCAACCTAAGTAAAGGGTACAAAAACAAGAATATAGCTATCATGTCAGATAGCCAAGCAGCCATCAAAGCACTAAGCTCAAATATCATTAGTTCAAGGATGGTGCTGAACTGCAAAACTAAACTAAACATACTAGGTACGCAGAATAAAGTCAACCTCTGCTGGGTCCAAGGACACATGGGAGTAGAAGGCAACGAGAAAGCGGACACTCGCAAGAAAAGGGGCTGCTACACCGCTGATAGGACCTGAACCCTTCTGTGGCGTAGGAACCCACACAATTAACGAGTATGTCAGACAGAAGGAAAAAAAGAAAATGAGGGAACTTTGGAATTCACTCATTGGACACAGACAATCCAAGAATCTTCTAACTAACTTTGGTAGGAAATAAATTACAGAATGTGTCAAATGAAGCAGGTACTAACTGCGAATCTTAATAGGACACTACAAATTAAATGGACACTTAAAGAAAATTGGAATAATCCATGTTGGCACATGCAGATTCTGCAAGGAGGCAGAAGAGACACCAACACATTTACTAACAAACTGCGGAGCCACACTAGACCGCAGGAAGAAATGTTTTGGGATGTTTAATGTGACCATAGAAGAGCTTCAATCATTGAAACCGGGCCTATTAATCAAGTTTCTTGATGAAATAGGACTCACCGATGTGCTTTAGGTAGAGCACGGGGGATACAATAGCTCCCAAAGGGCGCAGTATACTACACCCTGGAACCATATCTACACCAACATCTACATACATATCATTGTAAAATTAATGGTTTAAAATCATCGGATTTTTGAAGTATTTGAAATATTCCTTCGATAAAGGAACGTGTTTTCTTTTTTGGCCTTACTCGTAAATTATACTAATACTATACTAATATTATAGAACTTCGGTTATCAAAGAGCATAATGTCCGTGTTACTTTATTCTAGTACTTTCAACGCTTTGCAAAATCACTCTTAGCTGGATGCAGGCATTTGCTATCAAGCATAAGCTTAATGTGTTAAAAAAGAGTGAACTATAGTTTTAATAGAAATTAGTGTACATAGTTTCGATAATGAAGGCAGAAGAAAGGACTCTAAACAATTGGAGGAAACTTCTTGTAGCAGTTTACCGGGTGTAAGATCGTTAAGACCTCTGCTACCTTCTTCATAAACTGTCATACTTCAGTTGAAAGGATGAGAAGGTCAGAGATGTCAATTTTACTACTACTGTCCATAAGAGTTGTTTCAGAACGTCAGAAATAAATTCAAAAGAGCATAACAACACAATTCGCATTAAAACTATTCTTCCGTTTGTAAATCTATGTCATTTTGTACATTAGATGGAGTAAATCCGAGCTGGTTTAACAAAGCGACGATAGATTGAGTGAAACCACTCCGTTTGTTCACCTTTCCCAGGGTTGTAAGAGAATATTCAACACGTCAGCAAGGAAACCTCTCTCCCGACCCAATTGTGCTATTCGATCCGAATTAATGACATGCAAAGGAGTCGAATAACAAAAACAAAATCATAGCGAGTTTCATCTGACTATAATGTATTCATCACTTTCGACGGAGCAAGGCCGAGACGGTGCCAAAGCGGTTTTGGCCCGGCGTAATTATCCGCTCAATTAGTCTCAATGCCAAGGCCGACGCAAGAGGCGCCGACAATGGGAAAATTGTCACCCGTAAACCACTGAAAGGGACTTGGCCGGGGCGAGGTGAAGCAAAAGCCAGCCTTAAAGAACGCTTAGCATGAATATGTAAAAAAATTCCATACACGAGAAGAAAAATGTATTTTTGTGGTTGACCACATCCTTACATTCACGCCTTTAATTTTCCACCGGTGGATGTTGACAGAGAAACCTCGGTCTCGTCCTTCCCAAAAGTAGGACTTTCTAGCCACAAATGCATGCAAGTTCTAAATCTTAACATTTATTCTCACTTGCACTCTCTTTCAAATACAAATATTTAAATATATTTCTTAAATACTTTAAATAATTCATTTCGGTTTAGTAGGGCGGCACACTACAACTCTTCCTGCATCATCACATACAAAAACTTTTTATGTCCTTCTATCGACCCTCTTACATTTTATGTCAATTAACAATTTTTAACTTGAAGACTTTCATTCAACTAAAAAACAAAATAAAACAATTACATATACGGAGTGATTCACTACTCCTACGGCAAATTTCGTCAGGTGCATCTACACCTCAAATGCAGCGAAAAAGTTCGTATGAACCATGATCCGGATCCGAATCAGATATTAAACATTTTTATGTTTTTTCTACTATCTAAGGTATTTGTTATAAATACCTACTTGGAGCTCTTGAGCTATTTATTTTTGGTAAAATTTAAGAAGGCGCCCTTTCTAGAACTTTCAATTTAATTTTTGGTAGCAAAACCAACACTAAATCTTTCAAAAATTACTATATTTAAAATGAGTAAAAATATTAAATTTGCAACCTCATTGGAAAAATTCACGGTAGAGCTTGTCAAATTTCATAAAAACTTATTCTTTAATAAACTTTCTAGCGGTATATCTTTTTCTTTGGGGTTAATGTAGTAACTCAACTTTCTGTCCTAGGAAAAATTTATTTACCAATATCACAAGAAGAAAAAAAAATGAAACAAAACACATAAAAATAGACGATAAACATAGCGAAACTTAATAAAAAAAAGCACGAAAAGAAAAAAAGGAAACTAATCACATAAGAAAGAGACAATAAAACAGCGAACAACCAAAGCAAAAAAAAAACTGACAAAATATCTACACTAAACACAGAAAATATGAAGAAAGAACAACAACAGATAAGTTGTAAAACCCAAGTCTACTAACCTAATATAAAAGTACAAAAAAAAAATCAACATAAAAATCAAACAAATCGCATAAAAATAAGTGAACAACCAAATTACGTGGTTATTTTAAAACGTTTTTATACTTTTTTTATTTTAACAAAAATCAAAAATGAATAGTTCGAGAGCTACGAGTAGATTTATGACTAAAATCGCAGATAGTTGGAAAAAACAAAATTACGTTGAATTTTTGTATTTTTTGTGCGTTTTTATTAGGTTAAAGTTGTTTTTCCCAATTTCTCTTGTGTGTGTGTGTGTGTTTAGTGTAGATATTTTGTCCAATTTGTTTGCTTTTGTTGTTCGCTATGTTTTATTGTCTCCTTCTTATGTGATTCGTTTCCTTTTTCGTCCTTTTTGTGCTTTTTTTATTAAGTTAAAGTTGTAAAACAAAAGTTTGCTCAGAACAAATTTTGAATTACTTTAGTGACCATTTTTTACCATTTAGTATAAAAATTTCTCCTTTTGGTTCGATGTAATAGTGCCGCTAGAAAGCTCATTAAAGGAAGTTGCAAATATAGTTTTTTAATAATTTTAAATTTAGAAATTTCTTACCATGATGAAGAAATTTAACATCCTTTTCAAAGCCCTTTTACATTTCTCCAATAATGAATAGTTCAAGAGCTACGAGTAAATTTATGATGAAAACCGTAGATAGTTGGAAAAAAAAGTTGAATATCTTGGAAAGGGTTGAACATTTATGGTTCATAAAAACGTTTTATATTATTTAGGGCGTAAGCACATGACGAACTTTGTTATTCGAGTAGCAAATCATCCTGTACAATAAATTACATTTATTTGCTCCAAACATTTGAAGAAGTGCGCACCTGCGTTAATGTCATGTGATATTCCTACACGCTCTCTATTTGGAGACAGGCGTGACAACCGTCTGTTATTTGGTAGACATCGAGCGACATTTGTTATTCTAATCTATCATGTCCCACATATTCAGTAACGAACGGAGAATAAACCATGATTTCCGCCAAATTAAATGAATGGTTAATGAGTAAATAATAAACAACATTATCCGGAAAGCTCAACTTACCCAATCGTTAAAGTTAAGTTTGCCGAGGTGGTCGGGGGCCTCCTGTTGCTGCCGAAGCTGCCCGGTGCCTACGTTTTCCAAAAAAGTCGACAGTTCTAGCGCCTCGGTGACCAGCGCTCTGCAGACCGCCTTGTAGTGCGAATCCGCTTCTTGGCTGCCCCCGTAGCCAAGGTGGACCGTACACTCCTGAAAAATAGAATTTTTCAATTACGAATATTCACTGACATAAAGCCTTTGAAAGTTCACAAACATTGGATCTTGTAACTCGTTCGCACAATTTGTATAAAATAATAAATTTTCCATGTTACCGGATGCCCCAAGTTCTTTGCTCCCTGGCTTGTTACAAATTTGCATAACGCTTTACACAGAATTAACAATAAAGGCAATAAAGAAAGATAACATTTTCGTTGTACAATTTTTTTTCAATGCTAATTTATTTTATTTTAAGAAACAAATACAATTGTATGCCCAGTGACCCCAGGCTAATTATTTTTATACACCAGGCAAATAATTGGCAACATAGTTGTAGTCATATACAGGGCGTTTGGCAACTCGTGTTACAAACTTTATCAGTAGATTCTATATTCAAAATGGAAAAAGTGCGCATTTCGGTTTCAAACCAAAATTTTAAAAAAAGTTTAATAAATTAATTCAAAGTTTCCTTAATTTTTTTTTTTAATTTACCAATGTCAGCCACGGTGTTTTCCTTTTCTCCAACAATTTCTTCACCTTTGACAAAAATCATTAAAAAAGCAACCGTACCACTAAAAAGGATATTAATTGGAGTACGTTTGCTGAAATTTGATTGTTTCTACGTTTAGAAATAGTAGATTAAAATCGCCATAGTAAGTTTTCAACTTCAAAAAAAAATTTTTTTTTTCAAAGTTCTGGCTACTAAAACGCTTATTTCATGAACGTTTACAAGGTATTGATCCCATCTTACTAGAAATTTAACGTAGTTTTCAATGGTATCAACAGATTTGTCCAAAACCTTTTATTTTTGGAGTTACCATTATTTATTTGAAGCAAGGTCGAGATTCGGACCATAGTAATTAGGACGTTTTAGTTCCATTTTGAATGTCCATCTGCTGGCAAAGTTTGAAACACGAGTAGCCGAACACCCTGTATATTACACTACTGGAAAAAATTAAAAAAAAAACGGAATGACTAATATCTCTTGTTGAGATACGAATAAATAAGTCTATGTTGAACTATGAAGTCCCTAGTTTATTTAAATAAATATAAATACATATGCAATAATATATATATATATATGTTCAGACCATCAACGTTCAGTGCTGGGACCTTGTTTACTTGTGTCCCAAAGTTCCAGCATTTCCAATAATGGCCTATTCGAGGACGACTACGTACTGTTTCGTGGCACACCTTCACTATCGCTAAGAGACTGAACGATGCTTTATAATAATTGAAAACATACTATAAGAAATGAAAAATAAGAATAAATTCTAAAAGAACAGTTGGTATCCTTTTCACTAGAACGACCTACACTCAGTGATGAAGGTAATAAATGGCATAAATGCCTATGGTTTGACTCAATTTTAAAATAGCAAAAGGTGTCAAACCCGTATTTCCACTACTCTGTTGGGAATAGTGTTCGAATCTGAATAAATAATAAATTGCTTATATACAAAATGATGGTAAGACTGATTTATTCCTGTGCTGCCTGGCAGTCAACGTGCGAAAGTAACTATAGGAAAACTGCTCAGAGTATATTCCTTAGGCTGTGCACTAACACTCCTAGTTCCACGAGGCTTTTGCATGAGATGTGCAGGTTGGACAATCAAAATATTATTGAAAAATGTAAATTTAAGGAGGCTTGTGCCAATAGCCCTATTAGTTTGATTGCCGGCATTGGAACCTCTCTGGAATCTCTCTCTCTCTCTCTCTCTCTCTCTCTCTCTCTCTCTCTCTCTATCTATCTATCTATCTCTATCTCTCTCTTTCTCGAGGGTGTTCTTTCCTGTCAAGTTAAGCCAGTACTACTAATCAATTGAGTCGAAGACTAATAGTACAGTGGATACTGGACTTCCTTCACATTTTTTTCCAGATGTTTTATCCCCTCATTAAATAGTTTGGTATGAAGTTATTTAGCATTATTATTATTGATGAGATCCACCTGCTTGTTGAACAACTTGAACAAAAGATCTTCAGTGAGGTCACAACAGAAACTACAACTCTTCAAGACTTTGCCGAGCTTTCGACGATTATATCGTCATCATCAGGGCCTATTTATTTTAGCAAAACATCGCAGTTAGAAACATGTTATACCATTTAAAAAAACAATTACAAAAAACAATTATGTAACTAGATGAGTGTTTAAATATATCTGGAGAGAAAGAAACTGCATATATAATAACAATAATTAAAATTAGGTGAAGTTCGGTATCTAAAAAATACACAGTGTGGAGTTAATTAAAAACAATAAAATAATATAATATAATCTTTAAAGTTTTATATTATATTGTTTTTCTTCAGTATTGTTTTGTCTTTCTTCTTTTATATTACATTCTTTTTCAGTTTCTTGCTCTCCAGAAATATTTAAACACTCATATAGTTAAAGTAAGATAAATAATTGTTTTTTGTAATTACGTTTTTTTAAAAAAGATATAACATGTTTCTAACTGCGATATTTTGCTAAAATAAACAGGCCCTGATGATGACGATATCATCGTGGAAAGCTCGGCAAAGACTTAAAGAGTTGTCGTTTCTGCTGTGACCTCTCTGAAGATCCTTTTTTTCAAATTATTATTATTATTTTTTTTTACGAGGGTTCGCAACAACAGAGGTTATATCAGGGCCGCTGGATTCGAACCCGGGACCTTTACCTACAGTATCAACGCTTAACCCGTTGCGGCTACCGACGGCCCTCTAATTATTTATTATTATTTATTTACCTGTTTATGTGAGTATAGTTTATTTTTTAAAACTGTGTTCGAAAAAGTTTAAAAATGTTATAATATTATTCAAATATTGTTATGTAGCAATCTAAGTGAAAATAAATAGTTAACAAGTAATAACTTTAACGTTAAACATTTAGAAAAGTTCACTAATTTCGTGGTCCGCTTGACCAATTAATGTATTACAATTAATTAAGATTTTTGGTTGAGATAAAAAAAGACTAATGTATTCAATCTGTTAATACCTTTCAAATCTTCTAATAAATTTGTTATTAAGAATCAAAATGTAATTGAAAAATGCTTCTAAAATACCTCTCTCTATAGGGAATTTAAAAAGGCAAAAATAAAATAAAATAGGTCAAAATAATTGTATAACTGTGCCCCAAGAGGGACCGTTTTGTGAAGGAATCAAACGGGGGACCCACCAATGGATTTGCACTTCCCTCGAGGCGTTTGTCCCTCTTCTCAGAAAGATTCCCAAGAGGGAACGATACTCCAGCAGCTTTTCAGATTCCAGAATTGTTCTGTGCCCCGGTCGCAGTCGTCGGCTCACGACTTGAATATTATGTGCAGTGAATCCTCGCTAGACCACTCGCGAGGAGGGAACTTTTAGATTTTAATTTATCAACCTCTGATGAATACAACGAAGTATATTTATCGAAAGGGGCCAACAGTAACAGGTGTTTCTTTATGACCTTCGTTTAAATTAGTGTCCCGAGGCACAAGATCGCTAACCATATTCCATTCTGTCGGCTTCCTTTGTACGTTGTGAAGTTCCAGAATAACAAGAACGCAGCTATCACTGGATGGCAAGCTTCAGTTAAAATGAGAACGATTTTTCTCTATCAATCATAGGAGGCAAAGGATAGATTAAAACCACTACAACTGTCAAGTCCATGTTGCAAAATCATGTTATGCTGACCAACCCACATGCGAATACTGCATATGGCCACATACATGGCCAACAACTTGCTCGAAAACATCCAAACTTCAGTATCAACACCCCAAGAGGAAATCTTCCGATTGCAAATTATTGTAGTTATATTGAAAGTAACACTATGACTTAGAATTATGAGGGATTAGTCAAAAGCACGTAACCGATGATAGAGCCATTACTGATCAATAGAATGATAGGTTGTGATGTAAACACGGCCAATTAAATTTCACAATGATGTATCAAGAAAAAATCACGGAAGAAGGAACGACATTATCATAAACTAAAAATAACTCAGAAGACAAATGAGAGAAAGTTCTCGGTGTCATTCGCTTTGCCAGGATTTTTTTCAAAGCACAACAGCTGATTGATAGTTAAGTGGGTCAGTCGGAACGCAGGCAAAACCTGTTCCACGACGATGGGTTAACATCCTCCCACAGTCCACAGGGAACGTGGGCCAACTCCTCTCGCTATCAGCAACCCAGCCTCAAATTGACCATAGTCAAGGGGTAGAATAAAAAACAAAATTCCGACTTTGCCAAGCTTTCGACCCGGGCTTCACAGACATCATCATAGCCTATATTTTCAAACAAATTAACAGTTATTTTATAAAAACAAACAATTACCAATTTTTGGCACAGGTGACTACGTACTATATTGCGTTTTTATCTCTATCCTCATTCTTTGGTTGTAAAGCTAAGTAATCAAACCTTAGCCAAAATATCTTCCAATCAAAGCATTCCCCTTAAGAGAGTCCTGGGTAGAAGCAGGTATGTCTAGGATTTATAGAATCTTAACATTTGTACAAAATATTAGCAGTAAAGTGAGGATACTCATAAAAAACAATGTACCTGATATAAATATTTGTTTTAAGAATTCGAATAAGCTGGATAGATTCTCCAAAACGTAAAAGATAAAGATGATTTGTGTAACGTTATTTATAGAGTATCCTGTATGGGATGCCCTGCCAAATACATAGGCCACCATGCAAAGGCTAAAAATTATAATATATAGACATAAACATGAATGTAAAGATCCATCCAAATGTTAACCGGGTTGTCACCACACCACCGTAACACGGGTACCAATTTTGATTTTGAAAATACTGACTTGCTGCAAGAAGAATCTTTGTGAGATGAAAAATAAAGGAGATTTTATACATTAACGTGGAGGAGAATTCTTATAATGTGCAGAATGATTTTCAAAAAATCAGTCCAGCTTATTCGAGTTTGTTACAATTTGTAAGAGGGAGGATGTCAAAGGTGTGATTATGTTATTACGTGTCAAAAAAAAAATCTTTGAAGCCCGGGTCGAAAGTTTGGCAAAGTGTGAATTTTGGTTTTTACTCATTTTACATTATACGATCATACATCAAATTAAACTACAAGCGGTCGATACCTTCTCTTCAATAATTAGCCATAGGTCAATTAATTAAGGTTTTTAGTTGAGATAAAAAAGTCAATATCACGAGCGGGATTCGAACCCACGATCTTCGGCATATACGCCGCTGCTCTACCACTTGAGCTATCGTGACCTCGATCCACTCTGATACTAACTTCCCAACTCAACCTCACCTTTGAAATTTCCCTCCTTTTTGCCATTTTTCAAAGGAGACACGAGCTTTTCAAGCTCAAGTGGTAGAGCAGTGGCGTATGTAGCCGACGATCGTGTTCGAATCGTGACACCGACTTTTCTATCTCAACTAAAAACCTTAATTAATTGAAATATATTAATTGGTCAAGCGGACCACGAAACTAGTGAAATTAACCATAGGATTCAATAATTGACTATGGACCCCCCCCCCCCATTCGGTGTGTGGGTCTCGATTTATGTCATCTGTCAAATCGTTAGGAGGTCACATTCAAAACATTCGACGTTAACTATTCATTCACAACATCCGTTTCCTCCTTTTTACCGCAACTCTATTATTTTTTTTTTTGTATAGCACTTTATCGCATTTTTCTTTAGCCTATTTTTAATAGTTTAATGATTGCGCATTGACGGATTTTGAATACTCAATCATAGCAGCAGTGATTGCCAGAACGCTACTTCTGACTGTATTTTAGTTTTTTAAAGTTTCATAATTTAAGCGTTCTTTCAAATTATTAAGCTATTATGTAATTGAAATATGTGAAATTCACCTTACATCACCTCTTAAACCCCTTAACCGTTCGTTGTTACCATAAATGTACGACCTGATTGTACATCAACGTTTACTTACTACTTAACTCTTAAGCTATTTTCTAATGTCATTTTGTCATTTCTGATCATTCTCTTATTTTTGCGTAATGTCCTTATAATTAACAGAATATAATTCAATTCCATTGACTTAACAATAATCATCAGTCATCACTTATGCGTATGTGCTAGTTAAATGAGCGCCATACTATCATCGTCAAGCACGACTTATTTGACAAAACGTACTACTGAATATGGCGAGAAGAAGAAAAGTGTCCGACAGACCTAGATAGTGAGGATAAGATCGAAATGATCGGTAACGATCAAAATACATTTTCCAAAGTGCGGAGCAGTTTACACGACTTCAGAAATTGGTGAAGGTGTGACGAATAATTTCAAGTCGCCTCCCTGATAGAAAAGTTACGTTATTACTATTCTGTATTATGGAAGTATTAAATTCTATGATCATGGAACAGCGGGTAAAGAAATTTTTATTTATTTATACCCCAGTCGTGGGTCACGTTCTTTCAGATGGCCCAGTTACGGCTCTTATTCTCTGGAAAACGCCGACCGGTATGGGTTTCTGATTAAATTCCCTTTCACGGAAACATCAAGAGAAGCCCGTTATCCCAAATTAGAAATGTGAAAGGTAAATATTCTGGATGTGACTCCGGTCCATTTCAGCTTGAAGGGCTAAGACAGCCGCGAAGAGTCAAACTCATCAACGCGAAACTCAACCAGGGGACCAAAACTCATTCATATCAAGCACACCGGCCCACCGAACCACCCCTACCTTTCCGTACTGAAGAAATAAAACCAAAACCCTGAAAATGGAAATGAAACTTAAAAAAAAATACACTTATAAAATGGGCATTAATTGGTACATACTATCGTTACTTGAACTACAATCAAACAACCCTATTATCCCACAATGTCATATCTGCTCCATTTAGCACATAGGATCTGTTTACACTATTTCTCAACGCTATTTCAAAAATAAACTCAGGTCAATTAGCCATGCACAATTGCAAACAGGACTAACTCAGGGGAATGAATAAGTCGCTTTTGTTACAAGTGGAAACAAATAGTTTATGTATTGTTTGATAGTTATCAGATATCTTCTGCCTATCCTCGATGATTTTTGATGATGTTTCTGCATTTCGCAATCTTCATATGGTCAATCAAACGATAGGCCGACCAGAATGACAGGTACCATTCAAACAATAGGTTTATCATTCCGCAAACTACAAGAAGAAATCTCACAAAAAATTTATAATTATAGGGAATAGCAAAACAAACCTACGATAAAAACGCCCCAAAATAAAAGATACTGTAAATATATAATCCCTGCACTATGATCTGAAACGGTCGCATACCTAGGATTAATTATGCATAAATTCCTTATGGGGAGCGAGTAGGGATGGGACTCGATATGTAAAAAGACCTTGGGTATGAGAATAGGTTTTTGGGTTCCCCGTTCCGGCTTTTAAGGGAACGGGGGTGTTTCCCCATATTTCATCTGTAAATGTTTATTATATATATTATTTATTGTATATGTCTGTTAATTTGAGCCCGTTGTTCAATAATTTGTTGAAGTAGTGAAGAGCGATCAGGAATGAAGTATTTTAGAAAAACACCTTTTTCATTTTTTCCCCATGTTTCGACCATCATTCGTGTCACCTTCAACGCCTGGGTGAACTCCAAAACATATGCTGATTGTAAAAAATAATTATAAAATACATATGTAATTAATATAAATTTTGAACCAAATATTTCATACGAGTAGCAACCAACAAATACTTTGTAATTCACCCAGGCCCTGAAGATGACCCGAATAAAGGTCGAAACGTCAGCAAAAAAATGAAAAAGGTGATTTTTCTAAAATACTACATTCTTGACCTCTCCTCATTCCAGCCAATTTACCGTATACATTGTAGCCTTCATTAAAAAATTTATTTAACAAAATTTTGATCTTCACATAAATAACAGAATGAATGTGATGATTTCCTTCCCGATGGACCAGACTGATGATTTTGTATGACAAAGATGAGGTACCTTGGGTGTACAAAGCATTGTCAGCTCAAATTACATTTGTCGACCCCTAGACAATTATGGTTAAACAAGGGAATCATATAATAATCAAAACTATTTTAATTAAATGATCTATTGGGAATTTAGGTTTGATATAAGTACTCCTTCAAACGACTGTAATGAAATTTAATTGATTAATCAAGTTAAAGCAATTTTACTTTCCCTGCTTAATACTATGGAACTATGATGTGGCACTCGATATTTTATTACATTAGAAAAACTGGAATGGGCCTCTCATTGACCTCATGAGTGCCCACCTCTGTAATTGTTTAATGGGTGGTCCATTCTTTCTTTGTTTGCCAATTTTGCCTTGATTGCTGACGGTATTATAGTCACATTCTCCCTTCACACCGTTATTTTAACCCCCTCCCCCCCGATAATGTAAAATATTATTGTTTTACCATTAACGCTATACTCTCAGCCTGCTTGCTGAAATGTTTAGAAGTGCTAATAACCAATCCCAGATCTCGTTAAACGCGGGATTTCCTCGTAATGAAAACCGTGCTAAATAACACTAGAGTTGTAGGAAGAATGTCATAATCTGCGGTATGTTAGCTGTTCTTTGTTATATTGTAATCATCGCATGAGAGAACAAGGAAACGTGGTGCTATATTCGTTTCCTGGGGGAAATCCGGTGCGGTTAACATTTCATCGGGATCATCCCGTTCTAAGGAAAACTTTTAACAATTAACCCTTATTACAAGCTCAATTGTCCCTGGACTGTTATGGAGAGGGATACGTGGGAGGCCCATTCGGCCTATGTAAAACGAACATTCCGGATTGGACGGGCTAGGCTTCCCACGAACTGTTCCGCATCGGTATGTCTGATGGCGAGCGGGGTAATGATCCGGTCGAAATGAAGATCTCACACTGGCTAGATATCAATCTGAACCCTGCATCCGAGGAGCACTTAGAACGGTCATTACGGCTTACCTGTAATACGAGGGAGAGGCTGGACGAGTGGTGCTGGTTGGAATCCTCGAAGCTATCCCCGGCGTCCCTTTCGATCCCCTCATCGTCCATCTCGTTCATCTGGCGATCCTCCATACCTGAAACAAACAGAACAGACGAATGCGTTACACAACTTCGTACACCGCCGTCATTCTCGAAAGCCCTGGGAGATCGTGTTCCAGAAACGGCAGGCGATCGATATGCCGTAAAGTATCCCGGAGTGCGTGTATAATTTCCAATGATCCATACCCGATCTCTTCAACAGGCGGTCTTAATAATGTAAAATTGATGCCTCCTCTAAACTACGGCCATCACTTATAGACGACACAATTCAACAGTTACCGTTTATTAAGGTCTACTTTCAACTTGAGTAATGGGTCTGGACCGTATAAACACTTATTGGCCTATTGTACTTTAACTAGTACGAAACATAAAAGTGTCATTGAATTGTTTCTAGATTTATTAAAAATTATTGAAAGAGATTCAGATCCCAAGTTGTTTTCTCATAACCAGACACCGGATTTTATGCAGTGAAATTTGCCAAAATATGCCATAAAATGTACAGTTAAAAGCCCTGAAATATATGATAATATGCAGTAAATATGCAATGATATGCAGTACACAAGTTTTTTTACTATCATAGTAACTTTAAACAGAAATATAGATAATTAAACGAAATAGAACATTAAAACTTTTAAACTAAAAATAATTAAAATTTACAAGTACGTAGTTGTTTTTTCCCACCAACTACGAGGTTATTTGAACCGTCGGGGTGCCGGTGTGTTTGAAAAAAAAGCCCATTTGTAAGTATGTCGGGTTCGAATGCAGGGCAGCTGGATTCGAACCAGGGACCTTTACTTTACGCTGAGCGCTGTGTCAACGCCTAATTGAGCATAATTAATGTTAAGTAACTAAAGTACTTCTCTAAATTGTCTTCCGTGAAATTGTGCCTACGGTCAATCAAAATGTCTGTACTTGCAATTAATTATATTGAAATACGATCTAAGAAGGGGTTTTATAATCTTCTATACAGGGTGAATTGCTACTCGTGCTACAAACTTCACCAGTAGATTCTTGACCCTAAAATGAACAAAAAAGTTCATATTGTCCATGGTCCGATTCTCAACCATTTCAGAGTAATTTCGCTTTTTATCGATTTTGAAAGATATCACGTCCTGGCGTCGGAAAATCGTGATATCTTTTAATCTAAACATTTCTCTTAAAATCTATAAGCACCGTTGAAATCCCCGTTAATTTTTAGAGAGAATCAAAATCATAATTCCATTGAAATTTTTTAATTTAATTTAATGCCCATTTAGTATGTAATGCTTAAGAAGTTTACAAACAGCTAGAAGGTCAAGGAAGAAAGACCCAAACGTTTTGCCACCTTCATCTTCTTATTGAAAAATTAACGGGGATTTCAACGGTGCTTATAGATTTTAAGAGAAATGTTTAGATTAAAAGATATCACGATTTTCCGACGCCAGGACGTGATATCTTTCAAAATCGATAAAAAGCGAAATTACTCTGAAATGGTTGAGAATCGGACCATGGTCAATATGAACTTTTTTGTTCATTTTAGGGTCAAGAATCTACTGGTGAAGTTTGTAGCACGAGTAGCAAGTCACTCTCAAACATTAGCAATCCTTGAACCACCATTTTTTCTCTTTTTGTCATCAACATCTTGGTCTCACAACCACTAAATAAGAAAATGACGAGTGCGTTGGAAGCGTTATTAAATCAGGTAGTTTTCCTCAAATTTGCTGCCTTCTGAGACTAAAATTAGAAACTCTGGATTACTTTATACACTTTCCGATTTACACAATTTTCCACTCTTTTTGTAGTTCTGGCTGAAATAAAACACAAAAAATTAGCCCAAACATTTTGCCACCGTCATCTTCTTATTGAAAAATTAACGGGAATTTCAACGGTGCTATTAGATTTTCAGAGAAATGTTTAGATTAAAAGATATCACGATTTTCCGACGCCAGGACGTGATATCTTTCAAAATCGATAAAAAGCGAAATTACTCTGAAATGGTTGAGAATCGGACCATGGACAATATGAACTTTTTTGTTCATTTTAGGGTGAAGAATCTACTGGAGAAGTTTGTAGCACGAGTAGCAATTCACCCTGTATATACTTCTCTTCCCGTCGTTGCGATCTGTTTCAGTTTACTTCGAATTAAACCAATTTTTCGTCAACTAGTTTTTTTGGCAGATTTTTTTGTGCTTCCCCCAAAAACCAATATAATATTTTAAATATTTGGCGCGATAAATGCGATTTTGCTTGAAATCCTTCAAATATGCGATATTGTTCAAACATGAAATTTTATGCGATATTCATCAAACATGCAAAAATATGTTCTATAAAATTTAACCTACGACTACCTAGATATATGATTCGGATGGATAATTGATTTCCTCGGAACTATGTGGTGGCCAATCAAATATGCAACTGCATAAAAATCCGGCCTCTGCTCATAACCCTTTTGAAAAAATGAACGATTCAAATACGTAGAAGTAATTTTATTTTATTTATTTAATAGTAGATGAACAAAATTAGTAATTTTGATTTAAAGACGAATCTGCAAATCACATCATCAAACTTTAGAATCGGCAATTACAAATTATTTCGTTCTGACAACAAATTTAGTTTTTAATTTGAATGTAGGTTTAGTATTACTGCGTAATAAATAACAATCACAAAAACAAGATATTACTTAATTTTTAAAATTATTCGGAAATCGTGAGGTGCGGTCTGGTGTGATGTAGGTTTCATAAAAACATTTTCTTTATCGTACCAACGTTTCGATCTTTATTGAGATCATCTTCAGGGCCTTGGATTTACAAACATCGTTTAAATTTAACAAATACATGTAGTATGAGGAAAAAAGTGAATTTACACAATGCAAAAAATGTTTTTTATGTTCAATCAAAGTATTTATACTCACTCAAAGTGTTTGTTTTCTGCGTAATTGTGCCATTCTTGCGTGTCGTGTTGAGAGTACCATTTTTTAATTTTTAAGTTTTTACATAAGCTCTGCTTAATATGCGTTAATATCGCGAAAAGTTGTTCAATTATAAAAACATTTTTCTCCACGTAAAGTTTATTTAAAAATATTGTCTGAATTTATTATTCGTTCTGTTAAAACTCAATCCGCGATTACTGATTTTTGATGACGAGGTTTCTCTATTTATTGATCAGTTGTCTCAGAGTGTAATTAATATTATTACAGTAATAGTGAATTTTTCAACAATTGTCTATCCGAGACATCATTTTCAGTTGAATAGAGCGTACACGGTCGACATTTTGCACGGGAATAGTGGCGACAAGAAACTCTATCCACCTGACAACCCAAGGATGTTTTTTTTTGCGAAACCATTTGAGCGGTCACACTCTCTTCAAAATCGCAAGGTAATTATTGGGTTGTCCGGAAAATAATGCAGGATTTTGGTATTAAACAAAAAAAAAGAAACTAGTTACTTTAAAGCAATGTTCTTTAATCAAAATAATTTCCCANAATGAGTAATCCTGTAAACGTAAACAGAATATTTTATATAGATTTTTTTTAATGAAAACTTAAAATCCTGCATTATTTTCCGGACAACCCAATACTAGAGCTGGTGGACGAGCTACAGAAAGGAAGCTGCACATTTCCTTCCAGTTGATCGGCCTTGCATCGGGTCCAATTAAAAGTTGACACATTCACGTGGGACCTGTTATTTTTGACTTATGTGACGTTGAACTGAATGCCATCGAAAAGATTGTGAATTAGTGTTTAATTGATGGAAAGGGCACAACGTAAAAGGAACAAAAGGGAGCGTTCACATGCTATTAGGCCCAGTCAACCAGCTCCCCCGAATTGTCTTCCAACTGGCACCGTTTCGAAACTTCATAAAAATAAGTTAACCAATAGGAATGAAAAAAAACCTACCATAAAAAAAGATCAGTTTGCTCAATTGATAAGAAGATAATCTTATCGCAATTTAAAGAGTTATATCAAAATTCTATTGCCTTGAGCTTTTTTTATATGACGAGAAAGCCTTCGGCATGCAAACGCAATGATACACCGCGATTTTTTAAAAATTATTTGAAGTACATTACAACTACCTTCAAGTAGGTAACGAGGAACAGTGAAGGTAATATATACAAAATTAAAACCAAGAATGGAGAAAACACCCATTGGTATTATTCCAATGTCACTAAAATATTGCCTGTTTAATTGATACTTGTGTCATTATCACTTTCACTATCATCACCATCACTTCCTACGAAATCTCGTGGCCATTGTCTCTTCAGTCGGCGGGGAGAGTTTGAGGGGAGTCGTCGGGATGCGAAGTTTCTGATGTGCTGATTCACGGTAGTTGAGAGGTTTTAATGAAATTTACGGGGACGTATTTCATCTTGAACGAAAGGGAAATGTAAGTCTGTATGTAGGTTCGATACATAAAATGGACCATCTACTCTTTTTCGTAGTAGTAAGGACTGGGCAGTTTGAATACGGTGGATGTTGGACTGATCCCCACACTTCCAGTCCGTAAGTCCATACCGGCTTAACTTTGGTGTTGTAAAGCGGCCTTTTATATTTGAGAGGAAAATTAGAACGTTTGTCAAGAAGTCGTGCAAGAGCTCTATATCGTGTCATAACCTCCAGACTTTTCAATCGTTGTGAGAATTCCACGTCAGGCGTTTTTCTATGTCTGAGGTCCCGCACCTTGTCAGAAGATGGAAGAGGAATATTATTTAAGAAAACAGGGGGGAGAACTTTTTATGGGGAGTGAAGGTAATGTGGGTTGAATTGTCTGTGTTAAATTGTATCCTTTTCGTTTTACACCACGACTAGTAGTATGAGGTGTTGTTGGAGATTTCGAGTGGAAACGACAAGGTCGGATTTTGAAAAACTGAAAAACGCTGGCATTGAATTATCCTTCCTTTATTTCAAACAATTATATTTTTCGACCATTGCCTTTTTTGTGTAGGATTTATGCTATAATTCGCAAGTCCCTTTAATCGTTTAGGATTTTTATAAAAGCCTCTCCATTCAGTTAAACTTTCCCCCCCCCAAAAATTGGAAGAAGAAAGAAAACTAGAATGG